CAGAAATAATAATTAAATATTTAGAAAACTTTTGATTTCATTTCATTTTTTTAGTTTTCATAAAATATTTTGAAACAATAATCATTTCAGATATAATAATTTCAGATCAAATGATCAGAAATAATAATTAAATATTTAGAAAACTTTTGATTTCATTTCATTTTTTTTAGTTTTCATAAAATATCTTGAAAAATAATCATTTCAGATATAATAATTTCAGATCAAATTATTAGAAATAATAATTTTAGTATTTAGATAACTTCTGATTTTATTTCATCGCTTCATATAAAATTAATCTGCAATAATAATTTTTACAATTTGTTTTAATATCCGAGTAAATTTAAACACGACAACTTAAGATAATATTTTAACAATAAGAAAAAGTAAAATAATGGAAATAGTTTAATATAATAATTATTTAAATTTTATTAGTTACTTATTTATTTAATATCGCAACGAGAACAATGCTTTTTTTTAAATAATATTTGTGGCAATAACAATTTTTTAAATATTATTCGATGTTTGACACCGAAGAAGTTTGATGTGTAAATAACTGTAGCTCCAGTTTTAAAAAAGATTTATTTTTCCTATCTATCGACTTTTAAATAAAAATAACTCGTTATACATTGTGAAATGATATAATAACTTTTTGTACATTACTACAGTATGTTTAATCCAACCAGTTATATCCGAAGTTTTTCATCTATAAAATCTAATCCATGAATTTTTTTCGCTAGTAAAATTGATCAGCTATTTAGCTTTCGCCTATAATTGATACTTTTTAACAGAATCTATATAAATGTCTATTACAGCTTCTATAAGACTGTGTAATGCTTTTATGGCCAACTGTCAGTAAATACTTTCATGCTTATTCACCTGAAATTCTTCATTATTCAAAATCTATTAAAATCGCATTCTGTAATTTTATATAAATAAAAATTACAGCTTCTATAAGACTGTGTAATGCTTTTATGGCCAACTGTCAGTAAATAATTTCATGCTCTTTCACTTGAAATGCTTCAAAATCTATTAGAATCGCATTCTGTAATTTTATATAAATAAAAATTAGGATTAGTATTATTTTATATTTAATAAGAAAATAACGAAAAGATTTCATACATAAATATTTTTTACTAACCATATTGAATGTTTATTGATATACCAAACGTCTCATCTTTTTATTTTTGATATTATAACACGATTATATTTAATTACTTCATCCATTTTATCAAATTGTTAATGTGAAATCTGTAAAAATATAATTTTTAAAATTTATATTGTAATTCAATTGAAATGAAACTTATGTTTTTAAAATTAAAATAATTTAGTTACTAAAATAAAATAAAAGTAAAAAATTATAAAGTATAAGAATTTAACTCAAATTGCACAGTAGCAATAATAATAATCTTAAAAAAGAATTTTTTTTCAAATTAATTTTAAACTGTGTGTATCTACCAAACTCATTAATTTCTGAATTACTATATGGTTTAACTGATAAATTATAAATAAAGATATTAAATTTATAAAATGAAACTCTGATAATGCACATTTTCATATTTTTAATTATGAACTCATATCATAATTTAAATCGAGGTGAGATATCAATAAACTTTAAGAGCAAATTTTACAACAATAAGGTAATTTATTTTAAAAACAACTTAATTAAATAAGTTAAGTAAAAACATAATAAAATTGTAACTCTATCTGTATTAGTTATACATTAAAGTATGTACAAAAAGTTATTATATCATTTCACAATGTATAACGAATTATTTTTATTTAAAAATAAATAGATAGAATAAAAATCTTTTTAAAAACTAGAGCTACAGTTATTTACACATCAAACTTATTCGGTGTCAAACATTAGATAATATTTAAAAAATTGTTATTGCCACATGTATTATTTAAAAAATGCATTGTTCTCGTAGAGATTTTATAATAAATAAGTAACAAATATAATTTAAATAATTATTATATTGAACTATTTCCCCTATTTTACTTTTTCTTATTGTTAAAATATTTTTTTAAGTTGTCGTGTTTAAATTTACTCGGATATTAAAACAAATTGTAAAAATTATTATGGCAGATTAATTTTATATGAAGCAATGAAATAAAATCAGAAGTTTTTTAAATACTAAAATTATTATTCCTGATCATATGATCTGAAATTATTATATCTAAAATGATTATTTTTCAAGATATTTTATGAAAACTAAAAAAATGAAATGAAATCAGAAGTTTTCTAAATATTTAATTATTATTTCTGATCCATTGATCTGAAATTATTATAACTAAAATCATTATTATTTCAAGACATTTTATGAAAACTAAAAAAATGAAATGAATTGTAAAGTTATCTAAATATAAAAACTAAAACATTTGAGAATTAAATTACACATAACTTTAATTTATTCAAGAAATTTTCGGTTTAAAAATTATTTATAACTTTAAAAATTAATTTGAAAATTATAAATTACAAATTATATTTAATTTTAATTTAATTGACATTTGAAATTAATTTTGTGATCAAGATTTCTATTGAAAAATTAATTTACTTAAAATTTGATTGGAATAAAGTCACTGAATTTCAAAATTTTTCAAATAATGTTATTAAGCAATACACACATAAGTTTAATATAAAAAAAAATCTAAAATTACCAACGATTAAAAACTACGACTTTAAGCTTATTAAATGCTTATCTAAACTGGAATTATGTTTCTTGTTACCAAATACTTGGCCAGTAATTTATTGTTAAAATAAAATGAATTTAATTCAAATTTAATAATTAATACAGCCTTATTGTTACAATAAAACTAAGATCTGTGATCGAAAAATTACTTTTGTGATCTAAAATATTTTCATTTAACAAATTTTTATTTGCAATTTTAAGTTATTTGATAGCAATTTACTCAAAAAATTAATTCTGTCATCAGTATGTGTCAAACCACTACTACTCTTGTTTAAACCATGTTTTTTGGAAACTATCGCGATTAGTTTCCTAGCCTGCCACATGTATTGTCGTAAAGTATTCGTATGTATGAGACACACGTTCGATAGTTTCAAAATCTTTCCGCTTATTTTTTGTTATGTTTATTTTAGTTGGAGGTCAAATTAACACCACAGTACTTGTACCTTCAATGCGATAAAGGTATTTTTTCATATTTCGAGGTTGTGTGATATATAGGGCATAATAATATGGCGACACGACGGGACTTTTTTACGTAGAGGTTCTGCAGTGTTCAGATGAGCTAAGTAAACTCTAAAGATGATTTCAGCTGAGTTATCAATTTTTATTTCAATTGTGTGTACCGTTTTTTTAATATACAACTAGTAAAATATAATCGTAAAGTGAATGAATTAAAAACTAATTTTTTCATAACGATTTTTCAGGTGTATGACAGTTTTGTCAACATAGTATTGTCAACATAGAAAGTATTGTTCTTCTATTTTCACACCCGAATATAGTACTTTGTTTGTTTTACTTTATAGTATGTTCGTGATAATTGTATTAATAATTGTATCATTTCAGATCGTTCGTTTTATGAAGAGGTTTGAAGGAAGACTTTTTGCAATATCGATGTGGGGATTTTTTCTAAATTAAGAGAAATTTTCAGATAAAGGTAAACGTATCAAATTATTTATTTTCCTTAAGCTTTGTAGAGAAATGTAGTGTTATTTAGCATTACGTTTTAATAATAGAAAAAAAAATTTGTAAGTTTTTAGTCACAAATTTTAATTTTTTTTTGAGTATAGATCTAATAAAGTTTGTTCTTTAAAAATTAAAATAAATAAAAATAGCATTTTTTGTTTTGTTGTATTTATTGCACTTTGCATTGTTTTCAGATGGTAAGCGGACTGTATTCTGTTTTCTCTTCTCTTATTCAATTAACTGGTGTTTTTAGTAAAGGGAGGTGCTTTAGTAAATAATCTGTCAATGTTGGAATTAAAAACCAAGCAATGTTTTAAATAGTTGAAAGTTTTCTATAATTGCCAATATTGTAAACAAAGAATTTTAATATAGGAATTTATTTACCTGGGTCATACGATAGGATCGAAGGCAAAGTAAATTCAATAATACATTTACAGATTTACACTTATAAAACATTAACTTGGTCGAAACATGTTATATATTGGGCTATGTATTATTTTTAGTAGATATTTATATTACTAAAAATGTTAGATGTTAGTTTTTGTAATATTTGTTAGTGTATGTGTGTGCATACACTAATGCAATGGTACAGCGTGATTTTGCCTATAATTTTGCAATGAGTGAAATATTTAAGTGCAAGTCTCGCTAATTATGACGTTTATTACAGGTGTAAATGATCTTGACTGTTTTGGCAAATGTTTTAATAATATCGTTAGTTCAAAGGTGAAATATATTGATTTTATAAAATAAAAATTTGAGAGATATTTATAATGAAAACGTCTTTATTACCCTTAGAACATTTATATTATTACATTATTAATGTAGGGGAGCTCGGGGCAACTTCGGCATGCGGGGCAAGTTTGTCAAGCGCTTTTTTTAAAAAACAAATTAAAAGGAGACTTTGGTTATAGGTTAGGCAGTTGAGTTTTATTGGTGGCTTGTTGAGTGTAGTGTTTTTATTGTTCTCCAACAAGCGTAGTTGAATTATCAAGCAAATTTTCATTTTCGTTCAATTCCATATAATATTTTTTTTCCATTTATATTGAATTGGCAGGTTTTGTTATAATTCCATGATAACGAAAGTTACTTTTCCTGTTAGAAGGATGTAACTTCAACTTATTCACGTGGCCAGATCGTGGCTTGGCATTCTGTTCTCAGGGTTGTACTTAATGTTTCGAAATCATGACTAGCGGGGTAAGATCGGCAACATAAAGCCACATTAGAAGCAAAGGATAAAAATCAAACAGATGATAAATGAAAACATGTTTGCATTTGTTATTCATGTATATATGTCTTTGAACTTGCATTTCGTTGTAATAATATTAAATGGGTGTTGGATTTGTATTTCTTTGTTTTAATAGTGAATTCCAACTTATACATTGTTAATAACATAATTTTATATACGTGCCTATCTTGCCCCATTACTGTTGCCCCTATACCAGGGGCAACTTTAATAAAAATAATTAAAATAATTACAACTTTACAAAAAGAGAGAAGTTGCCGATCTTGCCCCTATACCCGGGGCAACTTCGTCAATTTCTCTCTTCTTGTAAAGTTGTAATTATTTTAATTATTTTTATTTCCAAACTGATTTTAACCAGTTCTATAGTAAGGTAACATTCCAATAGACAATATGCAAAGCTTTTTTTTTCAGTTTACAGCAGTATTTATTACACAAAATTTAAGTAAAGCTTAACATGCCGATCTTGCCCCGATCTCCCCTAATTATAATTACGTAAGCTCTTCACAAATCTATGTAATTTTAAAAATCTGTTTACTTCACACTACAAACCATAGCAGTTTTAAATCTACTTTAGAACATTATCTATAGTCCGAATTAAATTTATTCTCTTCTACTAAAAGGAAGGATTACAGAAAACAAGAAGTACGTATGAAAAGACTGAATAATTATAGCGAATAAAGTATTCATTAAGTCCAAGTTCCTTTAGAGACACATGACCCTCCTCTATCTCTTCACCTTCTCGACGTTTCACCAACAAAATTTAAAAGCATCAATGCTCCTTACACACAATTCACCAAGCAAAGTTTTATTTTTTAATCTTCACTTCATCCTGAAATATTAAGCAAAATAGATGCCAATACACGCAAATACACTCACGTATACATACATATCCACGGAATTTTTTTACTTTTTTGGATTTTCGAAACGTGGGATTTGTTTAATTTTTGTGCAATGACCTTTGGTGACTTTTTAAAAAATTTTGCGCTTTATAAAACGAGTAACTTTACTGTTTTTATGACTAGTCTAATTGTTCATTTTCATTGTATTTTTTTTGTTTTTTCTGCTTTGTCAAAGATACGCGCAACGAAATTTTAGTTTTTGTAATAATAAATTGTTATTATTAATTTTTAATTGCAGATGGCATCGCAGACGAACTATGCTCTGTTTTTGTCACTTTTCACAAGCAGGGTTTTCTACACATTCAACATTACTCGGATATATAATGACCTATTCATAGCTTTATGAAAGCAATCACGCATAAATAAAAATTGTTTAACAAGCAATAGAAGTATCAATACATAAAAATTTCACATATTCTGTCTCTAAAATCATAATTAACTCCACGTATAAAAAATTAATCTATGAATATATGTCAGGTAAATTTATACAAAATATGAAGTAAAAAGTTGTTTGAAATTCAACTAGAGATTTTTTGCATAATACATTATTTTTTACCTGATTGTTTTTCTTTGTACAGCACGGAAAACAGGCAATCGTTGCATGTGCCGCTATGGAAGAAGTGATTTTTGCACCCGACTGTGCAAAGATAAACTTCACACTTTCCCGACAAAAGAGCCTATTCTAGTACATACAGGCGACAGGAAAAGCCATATTTGTACTACTCGACAGGAAGAAGCGATCCAAAAGAAGGAAAGATCGGCTGCAGCAGCCTAGGAGGCTTAGCCGATACACTGCGCCGACCCGGAAGGATTCCTGTGTCTGAACGTCTACATGCAAAATCAAGAAGCACCCGGCATACTCGCTTAGACGTCTTTTCTCTATCGTCTATCTATAGGGGAAAAAGTGATAGAAAAAAAGAACCTAAAGAAAGAAGCCGAAAGAAAAGCAATTCAAAGAGAAACAAGTTAAATAATGAAGTCATTAAGACACAAATAACAGTCGGAAAAGGGAACGAAAAGACATAGAGCGAACCCGTCATCCATCAAGTAGTATTAGTTTTGAGGTTCACATAATGGAGTAGGGTGCCCAGAACGGATGAAATAAAATTATAACTAGCCAAAAAACAAAGGAAATGATCGCCAACGGACAAACACTTCGCAAAGTGACTGCAGGAAATACAAACACGTCAAGACAAGAGGAAGACACATTCTGAAACGGCAGACAGTAGAGACTACTTGGTTAAAGTAGTGCCATGCTGCTAATTCGCTGTAAAGCCAAAGCCTTTTAACAAGGAGGGTAAAAAACAGGATAATGTGCAGTATAGTAAGAGTACAGAGAAAATAATAGAAAACGAAGAAACATAGTGCCTTATTATAGCTAAAACCACGTCTTTGCAGCCCCACAAAGCCTACGATTTGAGTAAAACTTGTGTAGAAGTTTGTTATGATTCATGGCTCGAATCGTGAAAGTCCCAGCCTCTTGACAAATGCAACGTAAATGTAAGTGTTACTAAACATTGGTAAACGTGAAACTAACTGTAAGAGTGTAAGTTTATATCAGAATCAAAGCTTATAAATAACAGCAATCTAATATCTAGCAAACGACTAACATGTAGTTTGGTTTTTTTTATATTTTATTTCTTTACTTAATTTACAATACATAATCAAAACAAAGTAATAATAAATCGTAACAATTCACTTAAAATAATAAATAGTAAATCAAATTATTCTAATCAAAGACGTACAGTTAGACACGTGTTTGTGTAAAATTGAGTTAAATTATATTAATATATAATAAAGAGAAAATATTTATTCTGTAATAATTCTATACGATATTTATTCTAATATTTCAACCATAAACGAAGATTTATTAAAGCAGTGTAAATGTAATACATTCAGCAGTCTAAAGATTCCAACAATTTGAGATAAATTTCGAGTTTTATGACATTATTATAAAAGCAATTTACGTTTAAAACAATTCGTCAATACATAAAAATTAACTATTACTAAACACTACTAAGATGTCATCGATTCAAGCCTGAATAATAGTTTAGTTTCTCGAGTATTCTTGTTTATAACACTTAAGTAGGGGCCTATTTCATATTTTTAAATGTTCGAAATTTTAAACTAAATCGTGCTGAATATAAACATTATATAACACGTACATTCATTTGCGCCTGGTGTTTTAAACACCTGCAATACAAACGTAGTTACTAGCAACACAGAACGGCCATGCCCTAAATTCAGAAACAAACAAACAAAAACAATTATTATTACGTATATTATTAAGAACACTAAAAGGACACAATAGTTTAATTAATAAACACACTACTACATTTATTTAATAAACATTTAAATAATAATTACGCTAGAATATACACGAAATGCACCCGATAACGAGCAGCGAACAGACACACACACACACACGCTCTACAACAACATAAATATCGATTATATAAATACAATTAAAACTTTCTTTTTAGANGTCAGGAAATCTTTTTCAATTGCCTTCGGAGTCAAACCTCGGTAGTAGGATCAAAAGAAATTCAACAGTTTATCTGTACCGATGCCACAGATCAGGTAAGAAATATTAAAATAAAGGATTTATTAAATTTACACATGAATAAATAATCCTATTCCTTTTTTCTTTGTGTTCTTCCACGTTTATATGAGGTCAGCACTCCCATCTTTAATCTATTGTCTGTTACCTTTTCTTTTCATCTCAACATACTTCTCTCCTCTTGATCTTCTCTTTCACGTCCATCTTCACAATCCTCTTTCCTAAATGAACCTCGTTTCTTCTCACCACACGAAAGATGTAAAAATTAATTTTTGTAATTACATTTTATAGCAGTTACAAGAATTTGTTAATTGTGTACACCAAGATTTTTTCAAATCAACCCAACTCAGAAATTTTAAGGTAAATTGTTATTGAAAGTTTCTACAATTAAAAGTAAAATAATAAGTTATAATTACAAATTTTATTTGTGTTTTGCAGTTCTGCATCTTCGAGGCAGATTTTGTCAATTTTTAATACCGGTACAGTGCTTGGTATTTTAGGTTAAGTTTTGGATTTTTAACTGCTTTTTCTGCGAAAGGTTAAATATGTTAACGAAAATGTATTAAATTTTTTGTTAAATTTAAATTTAATTGAAATATTAAAAAAAATAAAATTGGATTTAAGCATTAACTTTNTTAAGAAGAGACTATTGTTTATTTAGAATGTGTAACCGACAATTGTAAACACGCATGTGTTTTTTATATTTTTCACTTTCCTCACTTCTATAAGTGAAAATACGATAATAAATTGTGGATTTCTCTATTTGTATATATATTAATTCACGTAATATTTGTTAGTGTATGTACGCACATACACTAATACAATGGTACAGCATGATTTTGGTTATGAGTAAAATCTTCAAGTGTAAAATCTCACTCACTCAAATATTAATTTTGACGTTCTTTACAGATGTAAAAGATGTTGGATATTTTGCCGAATGTTTTAATCGTACCGTTAGTGAAAAGGTAAAATATATTTATTTATAAAATAAAAATTTGAGAGATATTTATAATGAAAACGTATTTATTACCCTTAGAATCTGAATATCTTTTACAATTGCCTTCGGGACCAAACCTCTACAACAGGATCACAAGGAATAAAACAGTTTCTCTGTGAAACTGCCACAGATGAGGTAAGAAAAATTAATCTGTTGTCTTCATTATCTTTATCCAAGACGTCCTCTCTGCTCCATTTCCTCTGTCCAGAATCCTTTCAAAAATATTTAAGTTATTTAGCTTAAACTTTACTTATGCAACACTTTGTGGAATTTTTCTTTAATTTTTTCGATATAAAATTAAGTTATTCGTACAAATAAATTGAAATTATTTTTTGTGATTACATTTTTATAGCAGTTAAAAGAATTTGATAAATGTATACACTACGACAATCTTCAATCAGTTTTCTCTCGACAATTTGAGGTAAGTTTCTATTGCAAGTGTCAACAATGAAAAGTAAAAATTATTAACAAAAACAAAATTACAAATTTTATATTTGTTTTTTTCAGTGTTGCATTCAAAGTTGTTTTCCACTTCTCGTTGTTTACCCATTTGTCGTTTATATTTGTCGTTTTATAAGTTAACATTTTGGATTTTTGTTAACTGCTTTTCAGCGAAATTTTACGTATTTTAACGAAAAATGTATTAAATTCTTCTTTAAATTTAAACGTAATTGAAATATTTGAAAGTAAATAAATTTGGATTTAAGCATTAACTTTTTCTTTCTTCTATGCAAAATCACGTACACTGAATCGTTCTACTCGCGTATTTATAATACTTATATTTTACGAGAGATCGATTAAAATGTACTTAAAATAATATAAGTTTTCTTTTATCTTTCCAGAAGTACTTATTTTATATTTAAGAAAAGAGATCTGCTCACACTAAATGCATCTGCATGTGTTTGTTTTCTTTACTACCTCTTCAGTAGTTGAAGTAGAAACACAGAGTAAGTGTTATATTACACAGGACCAAGTTGTTTCTTTAATGCAGGAAAAGGAGTGTTCGTATTATATCACTTATTCTATGTGTTTTCACTTTCACTTCAAGGGAAAGTATAGAAAAAACAGATTTAAATGCAATTAGTATAAACAATTTACTTTTGTTCTAAATTAAAANGAGCAGGATAACAAACTATTTTTTTACGTACTACAGTACATATAGATGTCTAGTTTTATATAAATAATACTTTTCTATAGCAAAATTTTATACGTTTAAGGTTTGTAACTATTTCTCTTTCATCTATATAATTTATTACGTTAAAATAAAATTACAGATAAGCTTCATTCGCCGGAACACAAATTTTTAAGTTATTCTAGCAAAAGAAACACGCAAAATATAACAATTTATGCTTAGTTATAAACACAAAAAGTTCTTTAAATAAATTTTTCCTAACAGGATACACTCAACACCACTCAACGAGTGTTTGTTTTTTACATTTAAAACACGTAATAGAAACAGTAAATATTATCTTTATTATGATATAATGTTATCATTATCTACTTTTAAATATTAAATTGACCATTAAAGCTATTTTAAGCTGGTTTTTCGTTGACTTCTCCTACTCAAAAAGTAAGTGTAAAGTGACAGCTTCCTTTTGTAGTATTAAATAGATGTATCAACACATATAAATTCTCAGAAATTGTATACGCAACTCTTTATATACACACGAATCCTCTGTTCGCTCCAGACCAATGGACTTAACTGAACGTTCAAATTAATAAAACATTTAAATAATTGAAAATTAAATGAAGCTACAACTAACATTTTTTAGCACGTGCATTCATTTATGTTAGGGTGTTCTAAACACCTGCAACGCATACTTGTTTATAAAAGATTTTAATTAAACTCCAAAAAATTCCAATTAAATTACGAATATTTACTGATATTATATGACATAATTATATCTATTATATGAATATTACAATACTTTACTACGTCATCGTTGTATATTGAGCAAAAGAAACAAAAAGGAGGAGTAAAAGATAGATGATTACAAAGTCACTTTCTTTGTTACCATAACGTACTGTACTTGTTCGAACGTTTCGAGCAGACACACACACGCTCTACAATAAAATAAATATCGTTTATAAAATACAATTAAAAGAAGATTTTTAAACAAAAATCGTCAATAATAATTCTTTATTAATTTAATTCAGTTTACAGGAGTAGAAGGAAAACGCGTAGGAGAGAAAATGCTGCAACATACGAAACGTCAGAATACGTCACTTGGAAATGAAGTTTTCCGTCACATGACTTATTACGTGTGACCTTTTTTCTATAAAATGAAGCAATTTCGCCTCGTTCGACGAATTATTCATTGGTAAAAGGTAAGTTTACTCTATATATAATTTAAATAGAATTAAAACAGGTATAGTTTGATGGAAACTTCGAGTCAGGAGGCCTTCTCTTTACTTCAAACGAGGGTGTTATAATTGGTTAGAAAGACACCTTTCCATTAGAATTGTAATGTTCACTCCTTTATATACAAATATATTCAGGTTGCAGTAAGATTGATTCTTCTGTGTTTGATCAAATTAGATGAGACTTGCTTTATGTTTTCTCTTCATTTCTATTCTCATCGTGGTTTTTTTTTCTAAGAAATTCTGCCAATCTAATGACAGAACAATTCAGCAGTTTTCATTATTATCCTCCTTTGTAGGGTTTTCTGATTAATTTATTAATAATTCCTACGTCTTGTGTCGAAATTTTCTGAATTTTGCATAGAGTTTTGTATATTTGGGTATTAATTAATGAAAGTAAAAGGTATGAAGAGAGAAAATTCTTCCGTGTGTCAAGTGTCGAGATGAGTCGAACTTAATAAACACGTTAATTATTTTTTAAATTAACACAACTTCGACAATTTAAAATGTTAGCTGTCTTTTTGTATTGATGCTTCTAGGTGAAATATATTTAAATCATTTACTAATTAGTAATTTACAAATTTATTAATTAAGTTTGCTAATTTTAAAATTTTACAAGCATATTTATTGTAAATAATTGATATTAATCGTAACCTTTTAATATTACAGCGAGTAAAAAAAACGAAGTGACCACGATGAAAGGAATATTCTTAATTTTCATTTCATCTCTTCTGTTTACAATGGTGTTGGGTGACAATGAAGATGACCATGACCATGACCACTATGATGATAATTACGTTGATCAGTACTGCGGTAAGCTAATGTTTTACTGTTTTAAGTGCATACAGACACTATTTACATACACAGTAATACAGTAATTTCATAAGGTTTTGTTTACGCTCTTCTCAAGCTTAATTTTTGTGGTTTTTCTGAATGTTTTCTGAAATGCTTTCGAGAGATTTATGTTTAATGGCCATTGATTCTATTCAAATCAGTTAACGGTCGAAGGGATGAAAAATACAATGGGTTAAGCGACACGTTGCTTAAATTTTCGTTTCTTTTTCAATTTTTACATCGGAATCTCTATTTATATCATTTTAAATCGGTCTTATTTACATAAAAAACTGTTCAATGGCTCTTCAGTAAGCAATAACAGGAAAATATTCCCAAATATTAATTTTATTACTTTTCACAGGTGTTATCAATATAGATTGTTTTGACTACTGTTTACAAGTATTCATGGGTGAAGAAGTAAAGTATATTTCTATTTGTTTTAATGGAAATTTCAAAGATATGATTAATAAAAACATTCTTTATGGTGTTTAGTATTACGAAAGGTATAGGAAATGTAATCCGGAAGCAGTAGCAGACAAATCACCGGGTGAAAGACAATACTATATATGTAATGTAGCCACAGAGGAGGTATGAAAAATTCAAATAATCATTTTATTTAATAAACACTTTAATAAATAATGAAGTAATAGATGTGCATATTATATTTATTTTACGTTAAGTATGTTTACTTTATGTTAATTGTGCTGCAATTTACAAATAACACACCTGTAAGTTCCCAAAGGTGTTTGTCTGTCTCCTTTCTTGTCTTTCCTTGGGCCAGAAGTTACATTACCCGCATGGCTCTGCTATTAGCAGGAGAAGGATGATGGGAAGGAGCATTTAGAACTTTCTTAAAACTCATTACTACGCACAAAATTAACTTTTTCGCAGCTATATTGTAATTAATAATATAGAAAAATTGGTATACAAAATGCCATTACAACTGAGAAAGTTACGCAACTCGTTGATTGAGTTTTTCTTAATTTTCTGAATAAACAATTAAGTTATTCTTTTAAAAAAGTACAAATTAATTTCTGTAATTTATATTTTTATAGGAGATAGCAACAGCTAACGCATGTACACACAAAGACGAAGAAGAAATAAAAATATTTCATGATGGATTTGAAGTAAGTTTTAAATGCAATTAAAAAGAATAAAAAGTAAAAATAAATTTATAAATTTTATTTCTATTTTGCAGGTTTGTGTCATTTATGAGACTTTGGGTTTAATTTTTCCCCAATTGTTCTGTAGCTGCACTCCCAGCTAAATTTTGAATGTTTAAACGAACACTTGTGAAATTCTTCTTGAAATTTAAATGTAATTAAAATATTTCAAGGAAAAATAAATTTGAATTAAAGAATTTTGTTTTTCCTTTATAAAATATTGCTTACACTATTCCTTTCTACACGCGTTATTCGACTTATATTTATAAATGGCAACAAGTTATGTGGAGCGAAGAGAAGAAATTTAGTAGAGATTGACCAGATGACTGTAGAAGCTATTGCCACGGTATTAAAGAAGAAATAGCACCCAATTATAGTATAAAAAGATTTACTCGTTTTAATGCAAGCGTAGAATAGTTGCATTGCGCTCACCTATCAACAAATAGGCACGGAAGGAAGGCAAGTGCAAGATTCGTTTGTTCTTGATCGTGAGGTGCGAGTACCGCATTTTTCGTATTGAGTAGGTGCAAGTATCTCCTGACCCTACGTCGTCAGTGTAAGGTTACCGATTAACGTGTTATCAGGTGCAAGGAGCGCTTGAGCCAATTATTCTAAAGCGTTACTTTTGTGTTCAACAGTTATAGAAAGATATTTTAACTCGCTTACCAGGAGCAAAACCTGTTTTTTTTCTTTCTAAGCGGTTCAGAATTGTTACAGTAACACAATAAATAATCACTTTTAACAGTTTATTATTCCTACTTTTGCAGTTTACTATTATTTAAATTCGGAACACGAAATAATTTGTCGTTTTTAACAGATTACACTCAAATTCGCTCGACATTAGTGAGCGTGTTTGTTTTTTTACAGTTAAAACATGTAACANTACGTTAATTAAACAATTAATCAGGTAATAAATGTATGTTAAAAGACCTAAAGATCCCCAAAGATCGTTAGAGGGTGAAGGCAACAGTACTCTTTTTAGGATGTAGATAAACCTAATTTAGTTTATAGGAGTAAAGGAAAAAATGAGTAGGAGAAACATTTCTAGAACATACACAACCTGCCGATGACGTCAGTATACGCCACTTGAAAAAAGAGTTTTTAGTCACATGACACATTACGTGAAACTTGTTGCTATGAAATAAAATGACTTCAGCTCGTTTGACTAGCTATTCACTTTTGAAAGGTAAGTTTACTCTTAATGTAATTTACATACAATTTATCTATGTGACGTTTAAAACAGTTCCTGCCCGAAGTATTCCTGTCTACCTCGAATAGGATCGTTACAATTGCTTGGAAAAACGTCGTACTACCCGAACTATAACGTGCGGTCCTCTCTATACAGATTGAAAAACATTCCTCTGTCTTCGGGCACACCAGACGAAAATTCTTTTATTATTTTTTTCTCATTCTTCTTTTCTTAGTTGTCCTTATTTTTAAGGAATTTTGCGGGTTTTATGACTATCCAGTCAAGTAACTTTTATTTTGGGCTACCATTAACGCGACTCCTGACTAATTTATTATCGTGCAATTATTTATTGTGACATAGTCACAATGCTAGGCTTTAATCACATTTTTTAAATTTATTTAATTTAAACTATATGTTCACCACTTCAATTCAATTTTTTCCATATACAGTACTTTCCTGTTATAACTATATGTGTGTTTCTATTGTAAAATATGGATACTAATTTTAATTCTTTTTATTTATTGAAAATAAGTAATATTAATTAATCGTAATCTGTTGATATTATAGTAAAAAACGAAGTCACTATGATGAAAGGAATATTCTCAACTCTCATTTTATCCTTCGTGTTTACGATGGTATGGAGTGTCCGCGCCGATACGACCAATAGACCATTTTATATTGACCAGTACTGCAGTAAGATATTTCTATTTTTTACTGTTGTTAATCAATAATAAATTTGTATAGATGTTAGTTTCTATAATATGTGTTAGTGTATGTATGTGCATACACTAATGCAATGGTACAGCGTGATTTTGCCTATATTTTTGCAATGAGTGAAATATTTAAGTGCAAGTCTCGCTAATTATGACGTTTTTTACAGGTGTAAATGATCTTGACTGTTTTGGCAAATGTTTTAATAATATCGTTAGTTCAAAGGTGAAATATATTGATTTTATAAAATAAAAATTTGAGAGATATTTTAATGAAAACGTCTTTATTACCCTTAGAATTTGAATATGTTTTACAATTGCCTTCGGGTTCAAACCTCTATAACAGGATCAGAAGGAATAAAACAGTTTCTCTGTCAAACTGCCACAGATGAGGTAAGAAAAATTAATCTGTTGTCTTCATTATCTTTATCCAAGACGTCCTCTCTGCTCCATCCCCTCTGTCCAGAATCCTTTCGAGAATATTTAAGTTATTTAGCTTAAACTTTACTTATGCAACACTTTGTGGAATTTTTTTTAAATTTTTTCCATATAAAATTAAGTTATTCGTACAAATGAATTCAAATTATTTTTTGTGATTACATTTTTATAGCAGTTAAAAGAATTTGATAAATGTATAAACCCCGAGAATCCTGAATCAGTTATTTTATCTGTACAATTTGAGGTAAGTTTCTATTGCAATTGTCAACAATGAAAGGTGAAAATGCATTAACAAAAACAAAATTACAAATTTAATTTCTGCTTTTTTCAGTGTTGCATTCAAAATTGTTCCCGACTTCTCGTTTTTTTTTCCACTTGTCGATATTTGTCGTGTTATAGGTTAACATTTTGGATTTTTGTTAATTGCTTTTTCAGCAAAATTTTACGTATTTTAACGAAAAATGTATAAAATTCTTCTTTAAATTAAAACGCAATTGAAATGTTTAAAAGAAAATAAATTTGGATTTGTGAGCTTGCAGATCTTTTTGGGCGTTTTAAAATTGTAAATTTTCTGTTAATTGTCTTCGGAAAAAAACCCGAAGAATCTGAACTAGATCGGATTTCACCGATTGTATAACGACTAGCTGAAGAAGTTTAGAGTTNTTAAGTTATTTCTACAAATGAATTGAAATTATTTTTTGTGATTACATTTTTATAGCAGTTAAAAGAATTTGATAAATGTATACACTACGACAATCTTCAATCAGTTATTTTATCTGTACAATTTGAGGTAAGTTTCTATTGCAAGTGTCAACAATGAAAAGTAAAAATGCATTAACAAAAACAAAATTACAAATTTTATTTCTGTTTTTTTCAGTGTTGCATTCAAAGTTGTTTCCGAGTTCTCGTTTTTTTTCCACTTTTCGATATTTGTCGTGTTATAGGTTAACATTTTGGATTTTTGTTAACTGCTTTTTCAGCAAAATTTATCGTATTTTAACGAAAAATGTATAAAATTCTTCTTTAAATTAAAATGCAATTGAAATTTTTAAAAGAAAATAAATTTGGATTTGTGAGCTTGCAGATCTTTTTGGGCGTTTTAAAATTGTAAATTTTCTGTTAATTGTCTTCGGAAAAAAACCCGAAGAATCTGAACTAGATCGGATTTCACCGATTGTATAACGACTAGCTGAAGAAGTTTAGAGTTAGGTGTGAAGAATGACCGTCATTGTCAACAAAAGTCTATCACGTGACAGTTTTTCCACGCTAATGATATAAAAGCTCGAATCTCCGGACGCTCAGGGCGATTCGTCATAGGAAGTTATACTTTGTGATAGAGCGCACCTCGACTTTCGAACCTTCATACAGCGGACTTGATCCAGCTACAGAGAGAGGACATGGGCAAGAAGACACGGAAGACACCACACCATTCCATATAGATGACGTTCGACCACCGAGAGGTATTTAGGGGTTAGAATTTGTAAAAGCACTCTCTCTCGAACTAGAAATTAGTTCAGCAACATAGCTACGAAATTCGTCGCCAATTTCTGTAAATATTTTAATATAACCGCATTTAACCTTAGTAGTAAGTTTGCCTCTTGTAGTTTAGGTTTAGTTTCAATAAATCCTTTGTTTTGTTAACCTGTCTTCTGTCACTTAAGGATGCCTGCCGTGTTACCGACGCACTCCCCACTCGATTTGCCCTCTTAGCCATCCAACGACTCCGACATTGGGTTTTACCAACCTGTGCAGAGTAAGTGGTGAATTGAGACTTAACCAGTGACATACTGCTTATCTCACATTGGTGTCAGGCGTGGGGTGAAGCTAACTTCCAGGCTTTTGACACGTTAGTCCGTTTTAAACAGGTTCGGCTCAGACAAGTTTTGTTCGCCGTAAACAGGTTTTGCAAATTTTAGACATAAAAGCATAAAAAGACTACGATATAGTCGCATAGAAATAAAAGTCGAAAATCCTCGCGCAACGTTAAAAGGATTAGATAGTTTGGTTTTGTTACTGCCTGCGTTCTTGGGACAAGCAGAAGGTCCCCGCATTAGTGAAGTTTTTGACTCGTTGGTAGATGTAGCAAAATTGTCAGGATGGACAAAAATGCAGATGTCAGTGGCAAAACTTAGACTAACGGGGATAGCCCGGGAAATCGTCAGAAAAGAGAGATGAATCAAAGACATTGAGTTTGAATAATTTAAGCATGTTATGCTAGAGCGTATTGAAAAGGTTCCTTTCCACCTTCGAGTTCATAAATTTTACGCATGTGTACAAAAGCCAGAGGAAGATGTACAGACATACGCAGCGCAATTATAAGCCCTTGCTACTGAAATTGAGATAAAGCAAGAGGAAGCAGATGCAGCGGAGACCGCAATGATTAAGCGCATACAGGATAAGAAATTAGACAAAAGATTAAAGGCTCAATTTTTAACTGAGATCATGAGGAGCATAAGACAGTGCATCATGTCTAGAGAACCTACTACTTTTGATGATGCTTTAAAGGCCACTGTAAGTGAAGAAAGTATAGAAACTCTGATGACACAGCCCAGTTTCAAAATCAGACCCATTAGAGAAGTCAACCCTGCTACAGGAAGGTCAGCAGAGGATTGGGTAATATTAAATGCCACTATCGAGGAACTTCAATCTCGAGTAGCTGAATTATCAAGCACCTCACCTAGAAAAGACCAGCTTCATAGAAAAAACGATTGTTGTCCGATTTTCTATTTTCGTTTAAGACGAAATAAGACATTAGCTCAGATTCAACAAATAGACAACAACGAGCTGGATTCCGCATTAGAAGTGGAAGAAAAGTGAAAAGGCGTCATACGAACAACTAAAAGTCAAACGAAGAGAGACTCAGTAGTTTTATGCTACACTTATAACGTGCCAGTAAAAGTTTGTATAGTTCCAGAGTTCAAGGACACAGTATTGTCAAACGAGGTTGCCAATAAATTAAAAGGGAAGGCCCCGGTTAAGTTTGGACAACGAAGGAAAATAGAAAGTCCGAATGGAGAATCCATGTCAACCGTGGGTATGATTGTCCCTAGTTTTAAGGTTATAGGACACAAGTTCTTTAGAGCATGCAAAATTGTCAACTCGAATGCTATCGTCTTTTTCGAAGGCGTAATCGAAGGAACGCTCCTAGCGCAGGAGAAGATAATTCTCGATAGAAACAACAATTCTCGATAGAGACAACGAGCAAATTATTTTACCATGCAACGAGCAAATGGTAAAGGCAGTCATTTTAATTCATGGAGGAAGAAAAAAAGGACGGTCAGTAGAAGAAAGACAACAGGTGACTGGACAGAAAAAGATGCAAATGTACTCCGCTTCATGCGATCCACTCCAACTACTCCACAAAATCAAAGGGAAGAGTGACTCCCACTCGTCAAGGTCGACACAGAACAGTCACAAGTGATCCGAATTGTCCGAAATGACGTCAAAACAGAAATCAAAAGAATCAACGTAGAAACAGGTAAAACCATACTTTATTCAGAACAATTTTCCACAGCGGAGTCTCAAGAAGAGCTGGATATAGACACACCAAAGGAAGCAAATCAAAAGAAAGCCAAGGATCAGCACTGGACGCTGTGGTCCAGCTTGAGCATTCTTGCAAGCTGGATTAGGGCAGTGTTGATCATTATTTCCTTAATCGGAGGAATGTCTATAACAGATACACCGATACGACAGAAGCAAGTACTGATATCTCCACTCAATCACGACCAAGTTGCATACAGGTACCTATTCACCCATCGACACCACTTCCTAGAATTAGAGTAGGGTATTTAAAAAAACAGGTTTCTCCACTAGCGTAGATTTAGAAAAATAGCAGTTAGGGAGAGAGCATTCAGTTCCACAGATTTTTGCATCATTCGATCCTGCAAATTGGAATTTAGTGTGTAGTGAACTTTGTGACTTTTCGACAATGCAAGTCCCAGATTCAACGAGGACAATTCAACAGAGACAGCTCCAACAACAGGAAGTCCACGTTACTCCAAGGTCAATGACTGCACATCGAAAACATCAACAATGAACTTTGAAACTCTCTCCAAGTCAACTAATAGACGACATCGACAACTGAGTCACCAACGGAACTGTGGCAGTAGGTCAACAACCTTCTTAAAGACAGTTATCCACTTGTAAATCGTGTTGTGAATGCTAACTGCACATGTAACGCATCAACAATCGAAATTGTTAATGTCGAAAGTCCTCGAGAAATCGACAAGGCTCTCTCTCAGCAGTTTACTTCGTTTCTCTTGAATAATGAAATATAAAAATTCTTTTTTTACAAATAACATTTCTAAAGCTAACTCTACATCGAACAATTGAATCTAATGTCTAAATCTATGAATATATGAATAAAAAATGCCTTTGTAAAAGTTTATAGAGGAGAATAAAAATGGAGGCAAAAATTGTGTGATGTGGTCGAAGGACCGTTAACACAATTGACGTTCAAAATCGTGGATTCAAAAAAATGAATTAGTCCAGTTGATTGATAGATGCGCAAATTGATCACAGAGAGAATGATCAACTAGTAGAGGGAGATAAATCGAGGAATGTGGCTACGACTAGGTCGAGGCATTACCCAAGGTTGCTCTGGAACTGGCCTTCTGCTTCGGAGAGCATAAGGAGGTGAAGTCTCTGCTTCCGTTTCAGATATCACGGTCTCTGATTCGGGTTCTTCGCCCTCGCTCTCACTCTCACTTTCTTGCTCTAGCGGTTCTTCTGGTGGTGGAGTAGGTATAAAAAACAAAATAAACTTGTCCCATGGGTCCAGGTAAGTAACTTGTTGAGAATCAGTTGGTTGTGATGCTCCAGGTGACGTAATAACTTCATTGTCAGCCAAGTCGGCTTCAAGGTTAAACTCCTGTCTAGCAGTTGTGGGTTTAATGCTGTCTGCGTGTACGTTTAGCTTACGTTTTGTTTTTATATTTTCAATTGTAAAATTAACAGGACCGAGGATTTTAATAATTCGATAAGGTCCAGACTATCGTGGTGCTAATTTTTGCTTTAGGCCTCTAGGAACAACAACTTCTTTTAATTAATAACACTCTATCTCCCACTCTATAACGTGGGAGTTTTTTTTGTCGCCAGTGTCTTTCTTGTCTTGATTCAGTCAGTTGTTTCGAATATTTTTGAGCCGTTTGATGCTCATGTTGCATTCGTTTACGTAATTCGGAGGCAAAATTGTCTTTTATATCGTAGGATACTGTAGCAGGACTTGTATCTAAGTCAAAAGGATATGTTGGGTCTCTCCCACATAAGAGAAAAAAGGGACTTTCATTAATCGCTGAATGTATCGATGTATTATATGCAAACAAGGCATAGGGGATTCATTCGTCCCAATCTCGTTGGTCATTAGATACATAATGCGATAAAATGTCTATCAAAGTCTTATTAAATCGTTCTACAACACCATTACATGCTGGATGATAAGCT